AAGTTGTTGGATTGGTTTTTGCATGGGGTTGGGATTTTCTTCTGACATCCTGTTTTCTTGATTGGGATTGGAGAGTGTCGCTCCGCGGGTGCTTCATCATGGAGGGCGGTGAAGACTCCATTGCGAGGCGAAATGCAGATGAGAGGAGTGGTGTACCCTAAATCGCGAGGAGGTGGGTGGGTTCTGCGGGGTCTTTGGCCCCTGCCGCGCGGGTGGTAGGGCATTTCAGCAGGTTAGCGAAATTGCCATCATGGTGGGAGTTGGCAGTTTTGGTAGGTGACTGTCGGTGGTGGTGCGATCCGCTCTAAATCGCGAGGAGGTGGGTGGAACTTTGCGGTGTCTGAGTCTGCGGTTGGGGGCCCGGTGACCCAGACCCCTTCCGTGCGCGAGGTAGGGCGGATACGTAGGGTTTGGTGTTTAACAGAGGATGGAGGATTTTGTTACTGGCATTTCTTACTTAGGATTTTTGCATACTCTTTTCTTATGTTCGTTTTGTTGAGCCTTTTCGATGATGTGAGGGACGTCGGACCCAGTTTCCGGCTTTTATAATTCAAACGCAGCCGTCGTATGAACCTGGCCGAAGTGCCTGGATCATACGACATTAGGCTGCCTGTGTTCTTAAAAAAAGAAAAGAAAAAAAAAAGAGGACAACAAACGAGGGGCTGTGGCAAACTGTTTCGTGGGAGTGCCGTATATAAATATATATAAATATTACATGGCTGTGGCGGGTGGGAAAAAAAAAAAAAAAAAAAAAAAAACTCTCCAAACAGTCTGACAGTATTTCACACGTTCAAATTTGGGGAGTGAGGACCAGATCCCACTGGCAAATAGGTGTCTGAATCAGGATGTGTTCCACGCAGAGATGCAGAAAAGCAGATCAATTACAGTTTTTTGCACCTGTCCACAAAAACGTCCAGATTTAGACACTTATTTCAATCGTTTTTGCCAGTGGAATCTCCCCCTAAGTGCAACCATGCACCCTCTCACCTAACTCGGCGGATGGCTGAGTAGTGCAAATAGGCCCTGTGAGTTCCTATGGGCCTACTCACATTGCCACTTCCCAAATGTAATTGACAGCAATTACGGGCAAACCTGGATGCATCTGAAGGCATCTGAAGGCAATCACGTCCGTATACAAGTAAAGGAGTCCTACCCAGCTGTGCGAGCTGTTTTTTTTTTTTTTTTTTTTGAAAGCTATATTCTTCTCTCATCTATCTCATTTTTCTTGCTAGTACTCATCTATCTCATCCTCTCACTAGTCTATGTATGGTACGGGGGAACACCAACCAACCCTGATCTCTCCCCAGCCCACCGGGGAGGTTGGCACCACAGCAGTGGTGCGAGAGCAAGGCTGTACCAGTCCCTCATCACGGTGATGAGGGGTGGGCAGGCATTGTCGATGGGGGAAATCGGCGGTGCTAGCGCCAAGCAATGGCCAGTCACTGCACCTCCCCCTACCCCGCCCCCCCAAACCCCACATGGCGGTGTCTAATGGCCAATATTGTCTCTGCATAGCAACCAACAGCATCAACCAAGGTCCTGCCAACGCTGGCTTGGGGGGCCGACCGGTTATCTCTAGCTGGTAGAACACGAGGCTTGCCCAGGCACGTACGTGAGGCCAATGGGGATTGAACCCACGATGTCCTGAATGCAACTTCTGTGCCTTAATTGTTGATACTCCACATTCCCTCTTTGGGGAAGTTTTCGACAGAAAACGGCACTCCAAAGGAGAAAGTGGAAGAAATAGTTCACGTGACTGACGTTTCTGTTTCTTTTTCTTTTAAACCACCAGTACCTCGGCCAACCATTTTTTTTTGTCACGGCCGTATACGCGCCGCTACTTCCGGTGGTTGGGGGGCGGGGGACCGGTAGGTAAAGGGAAAAAAAAAAAAAAAAAAAAAAAAACAAGA